CTTTCCCTAAAGTTTTCCAAAAAATCTGGTTAGAACAGGACAGGAAACTGACAAATCTTTTCAGAGGTGCCCATCTGAATTACCATCGGTCCCTCATCTCTTGGGGCATAATTAATGCGACTTATGAGTTCTTGTTAAAGATTATATGAAAGAAATCAGTTAAGTGCGATTTATCAACTGAACAGACCTAAGAAGAATGCAGTTTGGTCTTGTTTCTAATTGGCCAAATACAAGTTGGTGTCATAAGTCCAGGGCACAGTGAATTATGGGCAAAGCTGTTTTCCTTAAGCACCAACAAATTCAGAATAAAGGGTTTCCGTAGGGGCAAAAAAAAAAAGCAGACCAAAAAGTATACGAAAACATCATGTTGCAGCTATATCTGATTTTTGTTAGAAAAATATGTAGAGATGTTATGGGAATACATATGGGAATATATGACATAATACATAAAAAGTTCTGGAAGGAGCCCCACTGGCCTCCGGGATAGACATGTGACAAGATGAGGAGGAGACGCAGAGCAGGCATTGGTTTAACCTTTAACTTTTTACTTTGCCCATAATCATACTGATTCACATTTTTGTAAATGTAGAATTTTTCTAATAAAAACCTAATAAAGATATTGAATCACTGTGTTGTGCATCAGGAACTAACATAGTGTTGTAGGTCAATTATACTTCAAAAACAAAGAAACAGACTCAAAGAAAAAGAGATCAGATTTGTGGTTACTGAGGTGGGGGAGGAGGGCGAATTGGATAAAGGTGGTCAAAAGGTACAAGCTTCTAGTTATAAGATCAATAAGTCCTAGGTATGTGATGCAGAATATGATAAATATAACTAACACTGCTGCATGTTAACATATGAAAGTTGTTACGAGTAAATCCTAAGAGTTCTCATCATAAGGAAAAGGTTTTTTTCTATTTCTTGAATTTTCTATCTATATGAGATGCTGGATGTTCACTAAACTTATTGTGGTAATCGTTTCATGATGTATGTAAGTCAAATCATTATACTGCACACCTTAAACTTATGCAGTGCTGTATGTGAATTATATCTCAATAAAATGGGAAGAAAAAAATTAAAAATAAGGCGTTTTTTAAAAAACCTAATAAAGATGAACAAAATAAATAGATATATGGGGGGATGAGCACCCTGCCCAGAGTTACGTGTGTGCAGACGCCTGCCCCTGGAGACCCACGCCAGCCACTGCCTGCCAACACGGTGGTGGGGCAGTGGGTGCTGGGCGGGGACACCCCGTCCTCGGACAGCAGCTTCTTACCCCCTTCAAGGCTGTGTAGACCGGCACGGTGACGTTCTTGCAGACCAGGCCAGAGAAAGGCCCAGGGGATGCAAGGGCTGGAGGGCTTGAGGCTGGAGGGGCGGGAAAGAGGGATGAGACTCACTCGGGTGGCAAAACCCAGGAAGCGGGGCGGGGGAGGCAGAGAGCCTGAGCAGAGCGAGGAGGAGAGAGATCCGTGCAGACAGCATTCCCTGAAACAGCACTCCGGAGACAGACCGGGGGACAGATCTCAGGACGAGGGCCAAGGTCTTCCGCAGCCCCACTCTTGCCAAGGTGAGTTACAAGCCGTGTGACTATGGGGCACTCGCGTCACTGTGGGGACTGGGCGGCCAGCAACTCAGGAGCCGCACTCAGGTGGGGATGCGGCTCCTTCAGGGGGTTATCTTGATTTAGATCAAGGCACCGGGGGCTCCTTCATCCACAGCCCTTGCACTGCAGAAGGGAAGCTGGTGCATATGGGCAGCCGGGCTGGAGCGCCCTGCCTCCAAAGTCCCTTCCAGCTCCGTAATTGGCTACAGCTCTGTTCCTGCCCACTCCCACCCGCAGGCAGGTGATGAGCTGAACCTGTTCAGCTTCCTTCTCTCTCCAAGGGAGCCGGGGCCACGTGCTTTTACCTGACCCTCACCCGCCGTGGGAGGGATGGGCTGCAGGTGGCCTGGCCCTGGGTGTTTCTCCGAGTCTTCTCCGCCCACCACGGGCAGCCCACCACGGGCAGCCCACCATGGGCAGCCCACCACGGGCAGCCCACTTGGGACTCACCGCAGCAGGTGGCATTACTTCTAGCAGACACTTCGGACAGCCGCATGCCTGACGTGGCCACAGCGTAGATCCGGCTCTCCTGGAACGGGAGGTCACAAGGGGTCAGGGTTCACCACCCCCGTGTTCACACCGGCCTCTGGCTTCGGAGGCGGGCAGACCTGGGTCCACATCCACGCTTAGCCAGTGACCGGTGGGGGGATCTGGGACAAGTTAACATCATTTCTGGACCTAAGATGGGGGTAATAATACTCACCTTTCAGGCTGTTGTGACAAATGAAATGATTAACGTAAACATCTAACACCGAGAGAGCACGGTCAGTGCCCTGCAGGCGATATTTATTCCCTCTCTTGCTGCCACCCCTCCCTTGGGGCAAGGAAGTTCCGGAGGAGAGGGAACTGGGACCTGTTTTCTCTGAATCTTCCCCATCTTACAGCCCTTGAAGTTGGGGGGGTGGTAATGAGGACGTCCGAGCCCCATGGCAAGGATGTGCGTGCCCTCTTGTTTGGAAGCCAGTTGTTCGGAAACTGGGACACATTTTTTTCCTACAGTAACAATGTCACATCATGGTTAGGCTTCAGGCTCAAAGTCCTGGCTTTCCCAGACCCGACCCCTGAACCCCACCGTAGAAGACACATCAATGGGAACTCCCACCCTCAACTCTTCCCTCACCCCTTGGGGTCCCCTGGGTCTGAAGCAGGCCCACAGGCCTGGGCAGCTTTTCTTAGGTTTGGATCACTCCCAAACAACCCAGAGCCCCCCCCTATCCTCCTCCATATCTCTTTTTCACTCAAGGTAAAGGGAAAACAAAGGCCCCTTCAGGTGAGAGGTGAGTCACAAGGACCGGGGAAGGCCTGCCCAGCTCGAGGAGGTAGCTGGGCTAGGCTGGGGCAGGAAGGAAGGTGGATGCTATCCAGGTCACCCCAGAGGGGAGCAGCAGTGCTGGGGCACCTGGGGGAGGGAAGAAGGGTCTGGCGAGAGCCGGAGGTGACTGGAGGCAAGAGAAGGGAAGGGAAGAGATGGGAGGCAGCAAGGAGGAATTCTGGAGGAGGGGCAGGCACTGGGCTGGGGCAGGGAATTCCGTGCTTATGTAGGGCAGATAAATTGGGTCCATGTGGTAAAATTAGCCATAAAAACGATTATTCCTGCCAGTAGTGGTAGTGGAATTCAACCACGGACAGGCCTCTAACTTCACAGAGAGAATGAAAGTGTGAAGCTTGAGGGGTTTACGTTCAACAAAGGTAGGAGTGTTTCACAAAAGGCTATCTAAGGCCTAACTCAACAAAGGAACTCTAACTCAGCAAGTAAGACCATCTGACTCCCTCAGACTGAGAAATGTCCTTCTCCCAATTCTCAGTCTTGATCTTCCCCACGTGGCTACTGCCCAGCTGGTCCCACATAAGAAGAGAGGTTGGGTTCTCGGGCTACTGTGGTTCCCTAAGGTAACAAGAGCAATCCTGTCTCGGGGACCGGAAGGACCTGAGCCCTCTTGCCACATCCCTCGCTGAATGCTCCCTCACTGCCTGCCTCTGCTTTAGGATTTCAGAGCATCTGGATTTACAAGACAACAAGGAACAAGAGGAGGGATGATTCTGAAAGTGTTCCACCCTGGCCTGGCCCTTGCCGTTTCCAACAGTCTCTCAACATATTGTGAACCACTGCTGCAACTACTCACCAAATACGTATTAACACACTTAATCCTCAGGGCAACCCTATAAAGCAGGTACTATTATCCCCATTTTACAGAGAGGGAAATTGAGGCACAGAGGTTTAGCAGCTTGCCCCGGCTCACACAGTTTGATCTTGGGACCTCCTGGTTTGACCCCGGGACCCGTGCTCTTAGCCACCACACTGTAGCTCCACGGAGAGTCAGGAAGACTACACGAGAAAATGGGCACCGAGCACCCAGCTTGGCTGTGGCCCGCGGTGAGCGCCTGCTCAGGAAACAGCCGGCCGCCTTCCAATCGGAAATCCTGGCTCCACCCCTTGTGGGCAGAGTAGTCTGGACAGGCCCGGGGGTACCCACCGCCCAGAGGGGGTGAGGCTGACAGCCTCGTCCCACGCTCAGCACATGGCTGTGCCCGACAGCGTTCGCACCATCAGCCCGGCCCCACTGTCCTGTCCCCAGGGGGCCTCTTACCCAGGATGGAAACCGGTGCAGGGGGGGTGTAGGTGGTTTGTTCCCCAAATCCACTTCCTCCATCTTCCCCGCTGAGGGTTGCTCATCCATCTCCATCTTCTCCGGTTCTTCCCGGAGCTCAGGTCCAGCCTCCACCTTGGGAAGGCTAGAGGAGTGGAGGGCTGAGAGTGTCCCAATCTCAATGCTCACCACGTGGCCGAAGTGCGCAGGGCCCGCCTGGGGCTGGCTGTGGTGCCGCTTGGCCAGCTGGATGCTGTCCCGGTGGGTGCTGGGAGCCCGCACCTTCGGCAGAGTCAGGCTGCAGCCGGGGCCTCCTTCCCTGGCAGAGGTCTTCGTCCTGGGGAGCGTCCCTCCCTGAGCAGTGACCAGGCCTTCACCCCAGGAAGCCAAACCATGCCTGGGGGTGCAAGGCTTCAGGCACAGCTGGCCAGGAGAGCCCTGTCCTCCCAGATGAAGTGGAAGGGTCTTGGCCTCTGATGTTTCTCCAGGGTGGACCATACTGGAACTAGAATCCTCCAAGGGGCTTCCTGCTTTAGGAACAGAGTCCTTGCTCTGCAGAGCACCTGGAGAAGGTACGGGCATAGCTGCCTTCAGGGCACCCTGGGCCTGAGCACCACCGTCCTGCCCCACTGGCTGGGCTCCTGGTCCTGCAGGGACAGAATCCTGCTCTGTGGTTCCCTGGGGGGCCACCAGCAGCTTCCCCGAAGGTGCCATCTGAAGAGCTGTGGGTGGGACAAAAATAGGCATGTTAAAAGCTCCCTCAATTCAGCCCCATGCACGTGCGTGCGCGCGCGCACACACACACACACCACTCCCCCGACTCCTGCACATGCTGGCCCGCTCACCTTCTAGTGCATGTTGAAGGGCTCCCACCTGCTCCACCAGGTGCTGATTACAGCTTTTCAGGTGCTGATTCTCCATCTCAAGCTAGACAAAGAGAAAAATGAAGATTGAGAATAAATACTCAGCCTACACATTCAGACATATAATTCAAAATAAGATTAAAATCCTTCTTAAAGATCAAATCCACACAAAAGAACCCGTGGTGCCCCCCAATCCACTGCTGACTCTCCTGGGAGCCCTGACCTCCTCCTTCTCTCTGCGCTACCTGGTTGTAGATGGGAAAGAATTCCATTTGGCGGCCCCTGTGCTTTCTTTTCTAGGTTTTTGGGGCTTTATTTTAATAAATTTTATTTATTTATTTTTGGCTACATTGGGTCTTCGTTGCTGCGCATGGGCTTTCTCTAGTTGTGGCGAGCAGGGGCTACTCTTTGTTGTGGTGCAGTGGCTTCTCTTGTTGTGGAGCATGGGCTCTAGACATGCAGGCTTCAGTAGTTGTGGCATGTGGGCTCAGCAGTTGTGGCTCGCGGGCTCTAGAGTGCAGGCTCAGTAGTTGTGGTGCACAGGCTTAGTTGCTCCGCAGCATGTGTGATCTTCCCGGATCAGGGCTCGAACCCGTGTCCCCTGCATTGGAAGGTGGGTTCTTAACCACTGTGCCACCAGGGAAGTCCTTCTTTTCTAGGTATCTTTAACCTTTTAAAAAAATGGTGAAATATAACACACAAAAAACTGCATTCTACACCAATGAACAGCTTAACAAATGATTCTGAAATGAATACTCATGTGACCGCCACCCAGGTTAAGAAAGAGGAATTTGCCAACACTCCAGACATCCCAGACTTGTCCTTCCCCAATCACATAATCCGCCCTCCCCACTAAGGAGACAACTCTTCTGAGTCTATGAGATTCATTTCCTTGCTTTCTGTGTTTTACCATCTAAGTATGCACCCTACACACATTAGTGTAGTTGTGCCCATTAGGACTTTACATAAATGGAATTATTCAAGATGTACTTCTGTACCTGGCTTCTTCTGCTCAACATACTATCCATGAGATCCAGCCTCAGCGTGGCTGCATTTTCTTTGAAATGAAAGCCAACACACTTCTTTTTGTTGTTGTTTATAACACAAAAATTTTATTTCCTTGCTTATATTTTATATCATATGTATTCTACTCAGTTTCACATGCTTTATTTATACTGGATCCAGGATGAAGGAGAAAACCCTATCTCCTGGAAAAAGGAAAAGGACAATAATAAATTCATGTGATTGTTCTTTTCTTTTTTTTTAAACTTCTTCTTCCTTTTTTGGCTGCATTGGGTCTTCATTGCTGTGCACAGGCTTTCTCTAGTTGCAGTGAGTGAGAGCTACTCTTCGTTGCGGTGCGTGGGCTTCTCATTGTGGTGGCTTCTCTCGTTGTGGAGCACAGGCTCTAGGCGCACAGGCTCAGTAGTTGTGGCGCACGGGCTTAGTTGCTCCGTGGCATGTGGGATCAGATCTTCCTGGACTAGGGCTCAAACCCGTGTCCCCTGCATTGGCAGGTGGATTCTTAACTATGGCGCCACCAGGGAAGTCCCCATGTTAGCAGGTGGATTCTTAACTATGGCGCCACCAGGGAAGTCCCCATGTTGGCAGGTGGATTCTTAACTACGGCGCCACCAGGGAAGCCCGCATGTGATTGTTCTTGAAATTTCTAATTGAATATAGCTTACATATATGTCTAGATCAAGTCATATAAACAAGCATGATGTCTATGATCTGCAGAAGCATATTCCTTCCTCAGGGAGGCATAGCAAATCTTATGGCAAGGGGCAGGGATACATTATCCTTCTACTGGAAAGGAGTCGGGAACAATATACAACCTATAAAAATTACTTTTATGACAGTAGCAACTTGCTCGTATTTTTTTTTTTTGTCTCAGTTTACTAACTGATAAATTGAAGATGGCAGTAATCATTCCACAAAGTTGTCATTGAGAGTAAATCAGTATCTATGTTTAAAATGCCTGCCTTAGAACTTGATGCATTGCAAGTGTTTAACAAATATTGGTTAATTACATTCTTCTTTTCCAATTATTCTAATGATTTTTATCCTGAGCTCTGTGACCCAGATTTTTCATTGTTTGATGTTTTATTCTCACCATATCATTTCACTATGTCATGATCCACAGGCCCTTAATTCCTCATTATCTTCCCTGACAAAACATACTTTTTTTTCTTGTTTCAACCTTTGATAAAAGTAACTTTGACCTCTTATTCACCCAGGAGCAAAAAATAACTGTTCTTCCATTGTCTCCAGCCAATATGCCAGGTCCTGTTAATAGGCTGTCTAGTACCCATTCTAATTGGAAAGCCAACACACTTTCATTGAGCTTTTAGCAATAGATCAGGGCTGTGGAAGATGCAGGTTATAGGCCTCAGCTCTGTCCCCAAGGGCTTGTAGTCTAGCAGGTGACCTGAGATGTGTGTCCACAGAAAGGACAGGAGGCAAAATGAGCCGCTACCCCCTGCAGGTGTGAGCCACTTGTGTCAGGAGTGAGTGTTCACCCTTCTCCAAACTTCAATTCCCCTTCCTTCCGTTTAGAAAGAGGTTGTTTTTTGGTTTTTTTGCTAGCAGTGCTGTAGCTTCTAGTCCTGAGTTTCCTAAATAAAGCTGTAGCAAGTGATGAGCTATGAAAACGGATGGACAGAGGTGGAAAGTAGAATAGAGGTTACCAGAGACTGGGAGGAGAGACAATGGGGAGTTAGTGTTTAATGGGGATGGAGTTTGTTTGGGGTGGGAAAAGTTTTGGAGGTAGTGGTGATGGGTACACAACACTGTGAATGTACTTAATGCCACTGCATTGTACACTTCAAAAACAGCTCAAATGGTATATTTTATGTATATCTGAGCACCAAAAAAAAAAAAAAAGTTAAAAAGAATGGAGAGGACAGAGGGTGGATGGTAAGGACTGTGTGTGCGTCTCAGAAGGAAACTGATGGGACTCCTCAGAAGTGAGACTCATTCCTTCTCCCCAGACACAAAGCAAACCAGGAGCTCTAGGGAAACCCAACTCTGACGACAGGAAGGGAAAAGTGAAGTGAAGTGTCTCAGTGTTTAAGCTGAATGAGAGACAAACAGTTAACAAAATGAAAAGCAGGCAAGGCCCCATAAACAGATAGAGGCAGAAAAACGCAGAGGGACAGGTGCAACGCCACGCAGGTCCCTCGCAGGCTTCCCAAGATAAGCTCTCACTCACCTCTGCTAACTTCAGGGTCACCCATTCCTTGATCTTTGCAGCTTTTTCTTGAACGATTTTTGCTTCCTCAGCTCTCATCTTCTTCTGCAAGATAGAGAGGGCCTTTAGTTCCTCACGGTGGTCACCGTTTTAGTGAATAATTGGAGGTGGGAGGCCCTGAGAAGAAATATTAAGGGACTGGATGGAGCTCGGCCAATAGGAAAAAATACATTCATTTATGAATTCTTAGAAAATATTCTTAAAGTGGGAAAGGCCTTCCTAAGCATAATACAAATCCCAAATAGCCATGAAAGAAAAGACTAATAAATCTATATCATCTCTATAAATTACTATATGACCAAAAAAAAAAAAAAAAAAAAAGCCCCTTAAACAAAATAAAAAGACCAATTGGGAGATGATTTGCAACACAAATGACTTACGTACAAAAGGGATCAATTGAAATGAACAAACCAATAAATATATGCAAAAGATATAAATAGGAAATCAACAGCAAATAAAGAAACCCATGAAAAGCTGTGCAATCTTTATTATTATTTTTAAAATGCAAATAAAAGTGACACATCATTTTCCTCTACCAGACTAACACAATTTAAAAGTTTGATATAACCCTAAATTGTCAAGGGTGTTGGAAAACTGCCCACCTCATACAAATTGGCAAAGCCTTTTTGGGGAAAAATTTGATAATATTTGTCAACATTTTAAATGTCCATACCGCTGATCTAACAAACCCACTGCTTAGGAATCGTTAATTGCATTATTGTTTGATAAAGCAACAAAAACAAAAAAACTCAAAACTGGAAATAACCTGAGAGTCCACAAATAAGGGCTTGGCTAAATAAACAAAATGAAAATGGAACACCGCTCTGATACACAGGAAATGGTCACAATAAACAGTGGTTAGTGGTGAGGAATGAAAATGAAGGATGGGGACGGAGGAAAAATGTCATTTTATACCCTTTTGGTCTTTTTGTATTTTTTACTATAAGCATGTATTACCTTTACAGTTAAAAAATAAAAAATAAAGGTAAATTAGCACATGAGTACAATTCCCTCAAAACAATCAACAGTATACAGTGATCCCTCCGTATCTGCAGGGGTATTGGTTTCAGGATGCTCAGCAGATACCAAGATCTGCGGATGCTCAAGTTCATTATATTGATATAACAGGGTGAAGCACAGTCAGCCCTCCCTATTGGTGGGTTCGGCATCTGCAGATTCCACCAACCACGGACCTAATTCTGCGGATATGGAGGGCTGACTGTACTATGCCCTTTCATATAATGGACCTGAGCATCTACGGATCTTGGTATCTGTGGGGTGTCCTGGAACCAATCCCCTGTGGATACCAAGCGACCACTGTAAAATGACTCAAAAGCGAGGCTTGTATCTAAAGAATAGCAGCCTAGGAGAGAACAAAATACAGGCTTTGGGGATTTGGCTCTGCCTCTGAGGCTTATTTGCTGTGGGGCACTGGGAAGGCCACATCAGCCTCTGGTGATGTCATCTCTAAAATGGGCGAAGATACATCTCCCCTCTGGACCATCTTGAGGATGAAGGGACAGAAAGTGCACCGCACAGTGCCTGAGGCACAGGTAATCAACAAGTTCTAGAACGAGTACTAGTTCCCTGCTCTAAAAAGCATGGAGGGACTTCCCTGGTGGCACAGTGGTTAAGAATCCGCCTGCCAATGCAGGGGACATGGGTTCCAGCCCTGGTCCAGGAAGATCCCACATGCCGTGGAGCAACTATGCCCGTGCACCGCAACTACTGAGCCTGTGCTCTAGAGCCTGCAAGTCACAGCTATTGAGCCTGCATGCCACAACTACTGAAGCCTGTGTGCCTAGAGCCCGTGCTCCGCAACAGGAGAGGCCACCACAATGAGAAGCCTGTGCACCGCAACAAAGAGTAGCCCCCGCTCGCCGCAACTAGAGAAAGCCCGCCCGCAGCAACAAAGACCCAAGGCAGCCATAAATAAATAAATAAATAAATAAAATAAATAAATAAATAAAAAGCATGGAGACAACTGGTGTACTCTCAGTTGTTTAGAGACCAGCAGTAACGACTTTGGTTACCCTTCTAGGGAAAAACTGCCTCGAAGTTGTAAGATGATGGACATAAGCTTCAAACAAGGGAGTCTATGGAAATGAGATGGGCATATGGAAATGTCTGACTCAGTATTTGAGAGCTGGCAAACCGGTAAGGTTATCTAGGGGTTTGCGGATGGGCCACAGGCCAAATCCAGCCTTCCACCTGGTCCCTCCCTGAATAGCCCTACCCATTCATTTCTGTATTGTCTAAGGCCACTTCCAGGCTACAGCAGCAGAGTTGGGTAGCTGCAACAGAGACCACGTGGCCTGCAAAGCCAAAAATATTTACTACCTGGCCCTTCGCAAAAAAGTCTGCCGACCCCTGACCTAGTTTGATACCCTGATATTTATGTGGCTGTGGAAACTGAGGCCCAGAGGGTGAAATGACTTGCCTCTGTCAGTTTGTGTCACGGCTGGGGCTAAAACCAGGTCTACTGACTTGCAAAACAGCATTCTCTCTCTTCTGATCTGGACCTATTATTATTGTAAAATGATTTTTTTTCCTGTCCTAAGTAAGCTTTAGCAGAAATCATTTTGCCCACCAATTCCCAGGTGCTGCCACTTCTAACTATGAACCACTCAACAGAGAAGACAGGTATCTAAAATCAATGGGAGGGCTTCCCTGGTGGCGCAGTGGTTAAGAATCCGCCTGCCAATGCAGGCGACACGGGTTTGAGCCCTGGTCCAGGAAGATCCCATGTGCCACAGAGCAGCTAAGCCCGTGCACCACAACGGCTGAGCCTGTGCTCTAGAACCCGCGAGCCACAACTACTGAGCCCGCATGCCTAGAGCCCCTGCTCTGCAACAAGAGAAGCCACCGCAATGAGAAGCCCGCGCACCACAAGGAAGGGTAGCCCCCGCTCGCTGCAACTAGAGGAAGCCCACGTGCAGCAACGAAGACCCAATGCAGCCAAAAATAAAAATAAATAAATTAAAAATAAAATAAAACCAATAGGAAATTGATGAGACATCCCACGTGTCAACATTCTATTGATATTTTCCCATGATTTTTCAGGAACACATGGCGCCCCACACATTGTGGGAGGTACGTCCCACAAAGGAAATGTTCAGTGACTGTTGATGAATGATAACAAACGTGCCCATGATAGTGGGCAGGCACCAGCAGGATTAGCTGGGACCTCCATGGAGAGTACACATGTGGAAAATTGCAAGTTATCTGGCCATGCTGTGAGGTTTTCTGTTGGAAACGGTGGAGATCTGGCACCAGGGAAAAGCTGGGTAGGTAAGACCAACGGCAGAGGGAAGGGACAGAATTAGGATGAAGTTAATGGGATCGTGAAGGGGAAGCTGGGCCTAGGGGACTGGCAGGGGGGTGTTCCGGATGTCCCCTCCAGAACAAAGATGCTGAATACTGGGCAGTGGCCTCTCCTGGGCTCCTATGCGCTTTTCAGAGGAGGCGGCAACTTTGGTCTCTGTCTACTCAGGTTCATTGAGAAACTTTGGCCGAGCAGTTGACCAAGACTGACGGTCCAGCTCTGTGCTGCTCTGCTACTACGTGTCCCACAGGTTGGCAGGGCATAAGACCAGGGTGGAAAAGGAAAAGCTCTCCTTACCAAACACCGACCTCAGGTCTGATACTGTACCCAGGTTCCCTGAGTTCATTCTGCCGACAGCCCTATGACGTACTACAACCCCTATTTTACAGATGCGTAAAACAAGAATCAGCGACTTAAGTAATTTGCTCACTGGTGCTAAAGGGGGGTTCAACCCAGATGAGTCAGCCTCCAAGGTCCCTTTCCCACCATATCCCCTGCCTGGCTCTTCACGCACCTTCCAATACATCTCCACGAGAAAGAACAGTCTCGTGAGGGAGAGAGTCCCCACCACCGGCGGCCCAAGCAGAGGGGCTCTGCTCAAGGAGCCGTGGGCAGCTGGTGCAGGCGCTGCAGGGGGGCACTGGCACTTACCTGCTTCTCCAACTGTGCCTCCAGCCGGCCGATGAGTTCGTCTTTGCCCTGCATGGCATTCAGCAATTCTTGGTACTTCCGGTGCAGGCTGCCTGCTGAGTCCACATTCTTCAGATTGGACAATTTCACCTTCTCTTCCATCACACCCACCTGAAAAGTACCAATCGTCTCATAGGGTTGGGGTATGGTGTGTGAAATGGCCTCCAACATGGGTTGGGATGGGATGGGATGGGATGCTTCCTGATGCCCCAACCTGTGACGCTCAGGCAGAGCCCATACCCAGGGCAGTTGGGGCCAATTAATTCAATGACCACTTATTAAGCCTCATCTGGGCAAAAGAAGGAATTGACAAGGAAGGAATAGCAGGGTGTAGGGCCATCTAACTCTGGGGGCCCCAGTAGGGACAAGCTGGGCAGGTCAAACAGCCCTGGAGAGGAGATGCTCCAGCTTCACTGTGGCAGAGACATATGCTGCCCACTGAATGTCCATGAACTTCCCGATACTTTCCAGCCCTCTTGGAGTTAGATGGCCAAGGAATTCACTGCAGCCAATGGGCCTGAGTGGAATGACTCAGTCATTTCTGGGCTGAAGTATTTAAGAGCTGGCGCACAAGGACCCAGCCCTCTTTCCCTGCCATGGCAACCAAGGAGGCTGTGTGCTCTAGCTGGTTCCGCTGGAAGATGGGCAGCTCCATTACCTTGGACCCCTGAATCACTGTGCGAAGCAGAATCCCTGGCTAACCCTCAATGGAGAGGTACCATGAGTGAGAACTAAATGTGATAAACTGCACACACGTCAGACTTCATTGGTTACTCAGCATAACCTAGCCTATTTGGACTAAGCCACTCACCTGCTCACTGCACTGACCCTTACCCAAAGATTCCTTCATGCCCACAGAAAGCCCCAGGCACCTTCATTTGTTCAGAAGGTCTAACACATGACTGCTGGTTTTCCTCATCCCTGTAAGAGGCTTATCGGTGTGACGTGTCCATGTGTGTCCACGGAAAGGGTCAGGAAAGGCCAATGGTCATTTCCGCTGCACACTCCTGCCATCCCCTCCCCGGTTACCTGGGTCTCCGCGTCCTCTGCTCTCTGCTCTGCCTCCAGCAGCCTCTGCTCCAGCTCCTGCATCTGCTCAACCAGAGAGGAAAGGGAGATCTAGGTGCAGTGTCCCTACTGTGAACATGGCATCAAGGCAATGCATGTGAATTGTGCAGATGCTACACGCAGGCCGGGCTCAAACTGCCCATCTCAAGGGGCTCAAGGATGTCAGGGTAAAGATTGCCAGGGCAGCCCTCGGCTCCCTTATCCTGAATTTCTTGGGCAGGTGAAGAGCCTAGAGCTGCTGTCCTCTCTGCTGAGTGAGGAAAAGCCTAGGTCTTTCTCCCTGTGTAGGGCACCCGGGGAGGGGGGGCAGTACCACCATCATTCTTCCTGAGGCATCTTCACCCTCACTCTTGTTTTCAGGCTCCTCTCCCAGACTCTCTCTCCTCTCAGCACTGGGCTGCAGGCAGTGCCCTGCCACGTGCCTGACATGGAACGTGCTCCCATGTGAGCCCCCATCATGTCGGATATTCCTTCCTCCTCCAGAATGGTTCCCTGGCTGGGGACAAATACTTCCTCCCCTTCTTTCAAGGATGCCTCTGACTGCAAATGGCATTCACAGGTATCACCTTATTTGATTTCTTTAATCTTAAGCACATTAAAAAAAAAAATTCTATCTAGCTACCAGTCTGCAATCATATGCCAACTGGCCCAAGAGAAGGGACCAATGTTCTCATACACAGAGCCTCATCAGGGACCAGATCTAAGGTGAAGCCTAAAGAGCAGCTCACCAGCCCACGGCCCACACGGCATCTCTGCAGCTTCGTGAGCTAAGTGTGAGCTGGATTTCAGCTCCCACCCTCCCCCTGGTCAGGGCTCAGAATGCGCTGCCAAAACCTTACACCATCACACAAAAGTCCTGCAGAAGCAGAGCAGAGTCATACATTCCACTCTCCTACCAAACGCCCTGGGCCACAGCCCCGCCCTGCCTTGCCCCAGGGCAACAGGTATGCAGGAAAAATACACTAGAGGCATAACCTCCCAGCCTTGTCCTCAGTGAGGCTGTACAGGCCTTGCTTCCCAAGCTCCAGTCCAGCCCTCGCCCACCTTATCTCTGCAGATTTGGCCTTTTCTCTGGCTACTCAACCTCTCCCTTTGGCCTGGACCCTGGCTTGATATTTACCAGTGAACTGAGCAATTAATTTTTTCTCTTTCCCAACCTCTCATCTGCTCAGCTGAAATGCTGCTTTCCCTCCTTGATTAAAAGATGAAAGAGAAGGAGCCCTCCAGCCTGGTGCTGGACAGTGAAAGGAGGGTTACCCGGGAGCAGTTCATGTTTGAGAACCTGGGGAAACTCTGTTCTCAGGGCCGCCTTCCCCATCCGTTTTTTTCCTCCTTGGTGTTGGGGAGAGACAGATGTTTTCAGTACACAGTCCCTCTGAAAGGACTGAGGATCCCAAATAAAACTCAAGATTTACAACCCATGCGACAAAAATGCCCCCCTGGGACCATCTTTGTGCTCAGGCCGAGGATGTTTGCATCTCTTCTTTCCTTCCTCTCCTGTGTTTAATAATCATGATGGAACCTCTTTTTTTTTTGCGGTACGCGGGCCTCTCACTGTTGTGGCCTCTCCCGTTGCGGAGCACAGGCTCCGGACGCGCAGGCTCAGCGGCCATGGCTCACGGGCCCAGCCGCTCCGCGGCATGCGGGATCCTCTCGGACTGGGGCACGAATCCGTGTCCCCTGCATCGGCAGGCGGACTCTCAACCACTGCGCCACCAGGGAAGCCCGGGACACTTTATTATTATTTTATTATTATTATTATTATTTTTGCAGTACGCCGGCCTCTCACTGTTGTGGCCTCTCCCGTTGCGGAGCACAGGCTCCGAACGCGCAGGCTCAGCGGCCATGGCTCACGAGCCCAGCCGCTCCGCGGCATGTGGGATCTTTCTGGACCGGGGCACGAACCCTTATCCCCCGCATCGGCAGGCGGACTCTCAACCACTGCGCCACCAGGGAGGCCCCATGATGGAACCTCTTGACTCAAGCCTGAGAGAGTGGGTTGGTTCTGGCCAGACTCGGGCATCAATTACAGCCAGATGGCCTTTCCAAGATCACACAGTCCTTGGCCCTTTGTAGCTATGGGGGAGGTAACAGCATAGAATAAACCAATATTATGGTTATAGGGGTGGCTGCCTAGCACACAAAAAAATTCTACTTGGTGGCGGGGCTGGGGGGAGCGGTTGACACATAACCCATGACCAGGTTAGTACTATATAACCCTTCCCCCTTGGGCACCAGACCCGACTCTCTCCCCCCAGGAGCGAATCAGGTTCTCTCTCCCTAGGAATCTGAAATGTGGGATTAAGAGGCCAGAGATGAGAGCCAGGGGGCTGCACCAGAGAACGTGCACAAACTTTACCAAGTCCTGATTATTAGATAGGTTCTTCAGTTCTCTGAGATGTCCCAGGCTCCTCCTAATAAATTCCCTGTTTGCTTAAGGTGGCCAGAGCTGGTGTTTCTGCCCTCATCAGAAACACCCCTAACTAATACAATTACTGGGAGCATTTAATTTTTAAGAATACAATGAAATACTGAATGGGAAGGCTTTGGATTCTTGACAAGTCTCCTAGATTAACCTTCATTAATTTACTTATTTTTAACTTTTTATTTTATATTGGGGCATAGCCGATTTAAAAAGTTGTGATAGTTTCAGGTGCACAGCAAAGCAACTCAGCCGTACATACACAGGTATCCATTCTCCCCCAAACTCCCCTCCCATCCAGGCTGCCACATAACATTGTGCAGAGTTCCCTGTGCTCTGCAGTAGGTCCTTGTTAGAGATTAACCTTCATTTAGATCTGACATCTGCTCTGTAGCTCAGAACACATATGATTTCCATAGGAAACGATCATTCATATTCGTGACTTTACAGATGGAGAAACCAAGGTAGAGGGATGAATAGAATGTATTTGAGTCCTACCTCTCACTTGGGCATTTCCATTTGTGTCAAGAGTGGTCAATAACACTGGTCAGAGGCAGAAATCACTCTGTCACTGACAACATGGTGAGTATTTTACCCCCCCAAGATCTTAATATTAGACATATTTTAAGGTTTGCAATCAGCGAAGCAGATGGAAAGGAAAGCGCCCCTCGGAGCCTAGGGTCCCCTCCCAGTCTTGGCCCAACAGACACCTGGTCCTCCCTGCTGCCGACCCTCCAGCCATTCTTATCTTCCGGGCAAGGACACTCGAGACTCAAAGCGTTCTGTATTCACCTTCATGCTAGAGTATTCTCTTTTCTCTAAAGCGAATTTCTGAACATTAAAACTATTTGGAACGTCTGGAAGTTTTTTAAAAGAGAAGAGTACAATGACCATCTATGTATCCATCACTGTGCTCCAACAATTACCAACATCCTGCCATCCTTGTTTGAAGAGAATATCTTTAACATCATGTTTCCCGCTGTTTTTATGAAAACACATTTTCTTCATTGCCACTGGAACACTCCCAGGGGTGTCTATGCCGGAATATCATGTTTGGGGTTTTCAAACTCTTCTTTTAACCCCAGTATCAACACTTCTCAGGATGGCAGATCATTCCTTATGCTCACTTAGAGGGCCACACCTGGACCTCTGAAAAGCTGAGCTACTCGCAGGCCCCCCTTATTTGGGTTCTGTTTCTCCTTTCAGAGGGTTCCCTAGGACTGTGTCCTCAGCTATCCTTTTAGTTTGTGGGTCTGGCTGACACACCAGCCAAGGCGGTGTCAGGTTTGGGCAGCTGACTTTTAGGCAGGATCTACTTTCACCAGCTGCGACTTAACCTGAGACTCATAAGCCACCCTAGAACACGCTGCAGCAACCTGATGAAATGCACTGGGCACCAACCTGGTATTTAATCCCCATGTCCACAGCTCCTTGTTACACTCGGTGACGCTGTGAAATACTGGCCCCAAAGGCAGCAGGCACCCTCTTGCGCTCCCAGCGCAGACCTGTGTGCTGAGTGGTGGTCTGAGCCCTGAGCCACGCCAGGCTGGGTCTCAGCTATCCCTCTGAAAAGGGTTCAACATTCTTACCACTGCTTTGCACCGGCTGGAGAGAATGGTACAGGTAAGCCTAAGGCTCTGGAGCCCGACTGGCTCCACCATGGTGTGGCTTTAGATAAATTCTTAACCTCTCTTTGCCTCAGTTTCCTCACCACCTCCTAGTATCCACCTCCTAGGACTGCTGTGAAGATCAAAGGAGATGCCTCATGTCAAGCTCACGTGCACAACTTGGCACTTACTGAGCAGTTCGCAGCTATAAGCCACTTGCTGGATTTTCATATACAAAGATGGCACTTATGATCAGGGTCAGCTTGCCTGGGACAGTCCAGTGGTCACCTGTCATCCAGAATAATTAGTAATAGAGCCTTCTTTTCTCTCTCCAAAGTGTCCCGGTTTGGATGATAAATTACCTGGCCATCCTACTTATGATCCATCTACAGAAAGAATGGCTTTAAGTCAGAGGTTGCCAACTATTAGCCTACAGAGCATCACGTAAGACCTACAGTGCTGCGGGCATTGAGGCGACACAGATATAACTAAACAAGGCCACTTGCTATGTGTCCAGCACTGGTTAAAGCACTTTAGGTGTATCAACTCATTTGATCTTCAACCCAATCCTAGAAGGCAGGTCCTATTATTATCCCTGTTGTACAGATAAGGAAACTGACACAGAGGGGTTAGGTAACTTGCCTAACGTCACACAGCTAGGAGGCGGAGCCGGGATTCAAACTCAGGAGGACTGGCTCCGGAGTCTATTATACTCTTAGCCACCGTGCCCCTCACATCCAAATCTCACTCATGTCCCGTAAAAACCCAGATTCCACATGCAATCCCCGATTTCCAGCTTCTCCTGAAAACTCAGGAGATCTGGACACACTAGGATTACCTTTTCTCATGGCAATACCTGGCTTCCTCCTCAAGCTGTGGCAAGCACACTGTCCTGAATCCTCACTCATGTAAGTTTAGTTACCTGCAAGCCTTTGAGACTGCAACCCACAGTTTTAGCTGTTAAATGGTTCTAACTCTGTTGTAATCAAAGACAA